GGTTTGCTGTATTTTTTTTCTGAAATTGTCAACATTGTTACATTTGCCAGGGCAAGTATTTGGCGTAAGCAGGCTTTCTATTTGATGTTGAAACAGACTTGCAGTGAGAGAAGCATTCTGCAATGTGGGACACTGAGTGTGCTCTAGATAATCTTCCCTTTCCCTTTTCCTTTCTCTCTCTCTCTCTCTCTCTCTCTCTCTCTCTCTCTCTCTCTCTCTTTCTTTCTTTCTTTCTTTTTCTTTCTTCCTTTCTCTTTTCCTTCCTTCCTTCCTTCCTTCCTTCCTTCCTTCCTTCCTTCCTTCCTTCCTCCCTTCTTTTCTTTTTTCTTTCAATAGAGAAATTCATTTGGAAGAAATGGAGTCCAAAGTATGACCAACAGTCTAAGACACATCCAGAAGAGGCTCGTAAAATGGGGAAATAATTTTTAAAGTGTTCAAAATTCTTAAAGCTGATTTTAAGATACAGTTCAACCATTTCTCACAAGCCTCACTTCCATTAGAGCTCTCTGTGAATTTAATGTATTTGCTTAGAGTATTAATTACAAGACTTTTGAAGAAATACAGAGGTAAGGTTAAATAGGAAGTGGAAAATACCATCACAGAGGAAGGTCACTAAATGCATGAAACAGTCATGAATCTGAGATTTGAGGTGAAGAAGATTTGCATAGGGATTTTGAAAAATGTTAGTTATTAAACGATGAGTTGAAGTTTGACCACTGTCTTTTTCTTTATAAAGAAAAGTGAAACTCAAGAGTTCCTCAAGGAACATATGATTGAGAAATTCAGAGAAGCGAATTAACTGCAGAATGCAATTGGAAATAGTGACAGAGTCGGGACAGATCCTAATATGAGAGCAAAAAGTGGGAAGGAGCACGCTCGTGAGAACACAGAGAGAGGGAAGGGGAGGCTGTGGAAGCCACATTGAACGTGCTAGGGAGGGCGTGGAATCCAGCAGGCCAGAGTCCATGGCGACTGGACAACCACAGCTCGATGGAGCAGAACCCACACATGGCTGCTTAAGGCATTTTACAGATACACGGGGTTTGGGACTAGGTCTAATGTGACTGTTCAACACTGCGGTGCAGATGACAAAATCTAAGTGCTTAATTTGGAAAAGAGTATGGTATTAAGATGACTCCTCTGATTACTGTGAAGTGTATGACATGTCTGAATGGGCTTGACAGAAAAAAGACTGTGCTCTGTAATTAGGAAATCTAAAGCTAGTTATTTCTTCTAGGGACATGCGTTTTATTTAATCAGTTTTCTCCATTAGTAGTTTATGGAAAATGTTTAAAATATCAACACCAATGATTATGGAGACACACTTGAATTCCCCCAACAGAATTTGATTTGTTCTACAAATCTAATTGTGTGTATATTATTTCTCAGTCTTTAGGTAACATAACTTAGAAGATGAGTTATTACAAAGAAATGATTTTAAAATCAAACTCTAATTTTCTGTTCTTAATTTGCTTCAAAATGCTTATTATAAAAATACATAAGGCAACATCTAGAAGTGGGCATGTGTCTTTCTTTTTAATTGTATTTCTTTCCCACTTGGGGGAGGAGCCAGAGCGTAAACAGTCTCCTATCGGGAACTCGGCAGAGAGGCCTTGGGAATTACGGAGGCCACCGAGCGGGTAATCGCTCTTCACTTTTTGAGACTGTAGTGCAATACGTAGAAGGAAAACGACCCAAGTATGGTGAGCTTCCTGTGGAATTTCACCTGGTCTCCCTAAAGAAGGCTTGGAAATGCTCGCTGTGCTAGGTATTGCCTTGCCTCTGTCCTTATCCAACAGGCAGTTTGTTGCTTCTCCCAGGTGACCATTTCTGGCAAAGATCCAAGTGAAGAAAGATGTCTTTAGCAATCCTTCCTTTCCTCTCTGAATCCCTCTTCTACCCTGCTGATGCTCCACCCAAAATAATGGAATAATGCTGCCACATTCATTTTGCTGACTATCCCCTAGGGATTTATATTTCAAAAGAAATGTGATATTAAAAGTACAGTTTCATGTATCAGAGTGAAAGTTTTGGATAGTTCATTTTTTGTTAACTAATTTTGCATTTGAATAATTAAATATTAGATTAATATAATCAATGCTATTTTTAAAAACCATGGATGTGAACATACTACAAAAATCACAATTAAAATATACAAGTTTCTCCACTAATTCCTCTTGGAGTCTTTTTGCTTTATGTAACATGTGCTAATGGATACTGTAAGTACAGTGAGGCTAACCTTAGATCACTTCAAAAATCCCACTGTCCCTCAGTGTACCCACTGTCATTGAGAAGCAGCAATGATAACTGTTGAATTGTTATTGAATTGAAAACTATATTTTCACTGGCTAATAACAAACCAAGATATGAAATCTACTTTGCTCACTGCCTCTACCACTTACAACAGTAGTTTTAAAAATGAATCAACATGAGTGTTCTTTTTCTTTCTTCTTTTTCTTGTTCAGCTTGTGTGTGTGTGTGTGTGTGTGTGTGTGTGTGTTTATGTGTGTGTGTGTGTGTGAGAGAGAGAGAGAGAGACAGAGACAGAGACAGACAGACAGACAGACAGACACAGAGACAGAGACAGAGACAGAGACAGACAGACAGACAGGCAGACAGGCAGACAGACATGCAAGTATGCACCAGAAGGAAATCAGAGGTGGTAGCACACACCTGTAATCCCAGTGCTCTGGGAGGCTGAGGCAGGAGGACTGTAAGTTTTAACCTATCCTAAGCAACTTGCCAATTAAGACCTGGTCTCAAAATTTTAAATATTAAAAAGGGGGTAAGGCCGTAACTCAGTGGTAAGGCCCTGTGTTCAATTCCCAGTATCCAACAGAAAAAACAAAGCAAAATCACTGAATAAAAATTATAGCAGTAGGCTATATCCTTGCCACTTGTGGAGAAATGCTGCTGTCATCTGTGACTTCCCCTAACACTCAGCACATAAACAATTGGTCTCAAAATTCAACACTGTAAATCTTCTGGTTCTCAGACAGCTTTACAGTCCTAGGTGCTAGAACATCTTTGTGCTCTTCTTCCTCAGTTGCAAGCATATTCTGACAATTTACCTATCTTGGTGGGTGTGCATGAGGATTAAATATTGTTTATAAAATGCCTGGCAAGAACACAGCAATGACTAGTAGGCACTGCTATTCTAGTCATATTTGGATTTGGAGAATGATTTCAGTCTGCGAGTAAACGCAATAGTTGGTTCCCAGTGGGTTATAAAGGCAGAGGATAAATTTCAGAAGGATATTTTGTAATCATTAATTTAAACTACATAAAAGCAATTACAAAACAATTACAATAGTGAATTGCTACTGGAAAAACGATAAACTTTCTATAGAACTTGTCGAAATACTGGTGAAGGAAATAGGAGGCTTGCTCTAGGGCAGATTGTCCAGTTTAATTTATGTGACTGCCTTTTCATGAAACGGAACAAAGCACACACATGAATTACAAAAGTACATGAAAGTAAGTGGTTGCAGAGCACATCTTGCCTCTCCAGACTGATTTCATGCAGGAAAGGCTGGGGCGGCACAGGTGTGTTTTTTTTCCCATAATTTTATTGAGAAACAAATAGCAATGAGACAGTTTCAAACTAAATTGGTAGGACAGTTTCAATAATTAACACATTGCATACATTCTTCCTAGTGGTTAATTGCTGTGGCACAGGTGCTCTTAAGGTATTCCAGTAATTATTGAGCGATACTTTAGGGTGAGTTACCGGGATTACCTAAAATATATTTTCTTTGTCATAGGAGTTAGGGGAGAATATTTCTTGTGTACTGGTATGGTGACAGACCCATAAAAATAAAAAAGAGTAGGCCCCATCAGAGAAGGACATTTTCTGCATTGTATTTCTCTTCACTGACTCTCTAAAGTGACATAACAAGAGTCATGTCCAACTATGTAACCTTTCTGACATCTCTTAATAAAAAATTTAAAATCCCCTCCAAATCAGAATTCTGAAGAAAAGACCCGGGTGTCTACCTTTGACCCCCCAGTTAACAATCCTTCCTGTGTCCCTTGCCATGTCCTGTGACAGCAAACAATGCTATTACCTACGACAGTTCAGTATTACCTCAGACACGTAACTTGGGGGTCATACCCGGCTATCCGTCTCTCTTCCTTCCAAATCCAACCCATTACCCAGCACTCTTGATTTTGCTTAAGAAACTGCTTGCTCTCTCTGTGTTTCTCTCTTCACCTCTGTGCTGTTGTATAAAACCCTCAGCCCACATCTGACTGCCTGTGTCCTCTACCACAAGGCTCCCCCTGCCTCTGCCATTTACACACAGGGCTTGAAATAGATGAAAGGATGTCACCATGCCAAACTTAAAATTTGTGATGGTGTCTCATGATGTATAAAGAAACAAACAAACAAAAATATTAATGTGGTTCACCTCCCTGCCTCCCACTTGTCACTTTATTCTTCTTGCTTCTCTTCCAACCAAACACACACTGGTGCTCACTACTCCTTTCGGCATACGGCTGCTGTGGCTGCGCCTGGTGCCTGGAACATTCTTGCCAATGTTCTTTGCCCAGTTGCCTCTTTTGATATTTATTTCACTTCCTAAAGGAAGTATCCCTTGACCTCCCACAATCACTTGCCTATCAGCCACCTTCATAACACCACAGAACTGTCCTTTGCAGCATTGAACAGTGTTCTGATTTTACCTTGACAACCTGATTAATATTTTCTTTCTATCAGCCACCTCTGTAGGCTTCTGTGGGGGGCACATTTATTTTGGGGGGCATGCTTGCTCTAGTTCAAACACAATGTAAAAGCAACATTCAATAGTAAAAATTTATAGAACAGATAAATAAATGATGGCTGGTATGTATTCATGGAAGATACGTTTTTTTTAAGGTTCAGCAGGTAGTGCATCATATAAAATACACAGTTTGATTTGTGAGTATACAGATAAAAATTGTTGATTCCAATTGCTGCAAGGATACAGGGTTTAGCAAAAAGCGAGTTTATGTTTTTTTACCTTGAGTTTTAAAGAGTTCAGCTTCTCTTCCCTGAGGTGTTCTCTCAGCATCTCCCGGTGCAGCCGCTCCTGCTCCCTGGCGAACTCGCCCAAGGTGTACTGGCGCACGCTGTTGTGGCGGCTGGACATGCCCAGGGTGCTGCCCCCCTGGCTGGGCACACTCGTGAAGCCCTGCCTCCTGGTGAAGTAGTACACGGTGACACAGCTGAAATGCACATTCTTGGTCCTCAGCCGCTTCTCCCTCTTGAGAATGGAGGATGCTGAAAGAGAAGGAACCAATTCATCAAACACTCAAACAGCAGCAGTTCTCAGGCGAGGACGAGAAAATGCTAGCTCTGCTCAAGAAATGCTGAAGATTGATCTTGAGGCTATCTGTGGGCAGCACATTTTGGCCCTTGTGGACTTTACAATGTTACATCCTCAATGTGGCAAAAAGTCTGTTAAGCGTCCCTTCCTACATTATATTTTTCTAGTCACGTCATAGTAGATTTTTAAGTGCTTCCATAATGGTAGTCACACCGAACTTTCAGGAAAATTGTCAATTTTTTTATGAATCAGCAGTGCAATTTAATTTTTATTTCTGCTAATCCTTTAAGCTTTGCTTTTGATTTTTATGCAAGTTGAATTGTACTACAGTTGGAAAAAATACATAATATAACTAACTATACTATGGTTCTTATTTCCTTAAAAGGATGTGTCATGTCTCCTAATCCCTTGAGCTTTGGTTTGAGATTATTATATGAGTTGAATTATACTACAGTTAGAAAAGATATATAGCCCTAACTTTTATACCTTATTTCAATAAGAGGATGCTTGGCATTAACAAAATTGACTATTAACCAAAATATCAGATGCATAATTTCTAATGTTCTACAGGATACCAGTATGATTATAATTCACAACAATTTGTTATATATTTTATAAAGAACTAGAAAAGAGGAGCTGAAATGTCCCAGGAGAAAGAAGTTATAAATGCTAATTACTATGATCTGGCCATTCCTCATTGTGTGCATGAATTGAATTGTCTTAATGCACAACATAAATAGGTACAAATATTATATGTTAATACAAATATATTTCTCGAATTATTGGAAAAAATCCTCCCCTCCAATAAAAAAGAAAGAAAAAGAAAAAAAAACTTCATTGCACCATTTATTTATATTTTAACAACCTAAATTTAGTAAAACTTTAACTTGACAAAAATAGTATTCCATTAACTAGCATTACAGAGAGTAGGATTTTAATCCAAGGACTGAGATGACTGAAAATGATTAGATATGTCAGGACTTTTTTCTTTTTATCATGTTTTTAATTAAAATTACGTGTATTTTATTGTGTATGACAATAAAGTTTGGTATATGCATTCATTGTGGAATTCCTGAATCAAGCTAATTAACATATCTCTTATTTTGCAGACTTCATGTGGTAATCAGAAACTTTATTCGTAAATACAGTGATATCAAAATGCACAAAGCATCAATGAGAGCTGAGGTATACATTATAGTTGAGAAAAAAAAGAATCATATGACCTTTTAGAGATGAGATACATGGTAAACATTATCTGATTCAAATCTTTCATTGTATGCCAAGTCAGCCCTGCCCCTGGGGCTCACTGAGAAGGCAGTTGGGATGGGCATGGTGGCATGTGCCTGTAATCCCAGCTCTTGGGAAGCTGTAAACAGGCAGATCACTATGAGTCCAATCTAGTAGTGAAACCCTGAACACCCTGTAGACCTTTCCCTAAAACATACAAAACAAAAACAAAAACAAAACAAAACAAAAATCCAACACCCCCCAAACCAAATCTTTCATTGTATAGTGAAATAACTCAGGCTTAGAAATTTGAGTAGTATTTTTTATATATCATATAGATAATTATTGGGAGAGTTAAGTTTAAATCTAAAAATTCTGAATCTGGTACTGTATAAAAGGAAAGGTACACATAATCAGAGAAAAAAATAGAAGCATGCTACTGTGGGTTGAGTTGTACCCCTTTTATCAGTCTAAACATATGGAAATTCTAAGCTCTGATATCTCAGGATATAATCTCATTAAGAAATAGTGTTACAAATGTAAACAACTCAAAAGGGTTTACTTACTAGGGTAAGTACTAATTCAATATGACTGATTCGAGATAAAATTGGGACATAGACATGGTGAGAGGGAAGAAGATACTAAAAGACAGAGAGAAAACTGGACTTTCTGACTATGGATCTACAAGTCAAGGAAGTTTGGGGACCCTAGAAGCTAAAATCTAGAACCTCTTCACATGTTTCCAAGAGAGTATAGTCCTGCCAACTCCTTGATTCTGGGATTCTGCTCTCCAGGATTGTGAGAAAAGAGATTTGAGGCCTTCTAAGCTAGTTTGTGGTGACTTTTATTATTTTTTTAAAGAGAAAAAAGAGTAAAAAATCTATAGAAGCAATACAGAAATAACAGCACTAAAAAACAACAGCAATTCAACAATGACTGTTGTATTACATAGTGTTATACTTGAATTAGTTGTTTAGATTACAAGATGTAAGCATGATGAACTGGCAGAAAGAAATTAAATTAAAAAGGAGAAGAAAAAAAGTTAAACATTGGTACTTTCAGAAAATCAATACACTAACTCAAATAGGAAGAGGTGGAAAGAAGCAATTAATGGAGCAGAAATTCTTGGCCACAAGGCGGTGCAAGTTAGCACTTATGGGGCGCTTTACATGTGTTGTACCACATAACGACCTTTACATCAATTCTTCCACTTAATCCTTATGACCCCTTGAGTGGGGGTTCTTTGTGGCCCCATTTTTAGGAAACCAAACCATCAAAGTTGAAATAGCATGGCCCAGGTCTTTTCGCTAGTGTTAGAACTGGGATTTGTTATCCTAGAGGCTTTTCACTGCCATGTGACAATAGAGCTGAGGCCACTGCCACACCGAACTCTAGGAGCGAGACTTGGTTTCAAACCAGCTCTGAGTAGGCATCAAGTCCTGCTGACTTCTGAGGTGATTTTGGTTTTGAAGGCTGTGTAAGCAATGAAATGAAGAGACTAAGAGTGATGGTGCACCTTTTAGAGCTATCAGTGATGTAAACACCCTGTGGCTTGTGTGCTATTGGCTCATCACCACTGGACTACATGATCACTTGGGATCTACATAACAATATTTTTTCAAAAGGGTTTAAGTCCCTTTGTCATATTCCCTCCCTCCATAAAACATGCATTCCAAGTATAAAGCAACTGCTCTGATGAATCTCGTTTTGTGTATTTATTTATTCAATAAACATAAAGTGAGGGCTTACCATAGCTGGGTACTTCTGAGACAACTGAGATAGATTAGTGAAAAAAATGAGATGGTGATTCCTTCTCACATGAGTAAGGAAGTTGGGCATCACAAGCAGACTCAGAAGACTGGAGAGAGGGCTGGGGAGATAGCTCAGTGGCACAAGTGCCTGCCTGGCAAGCACAAGGTCCTGAGTTCGATTCCCAGAACAAAAACAAAACAAAACAGAGAGGAAGAGGAAGAGGCAGAGTTTCCCAGAAGAGATTGCCAGAAAGCAATCTATTTATTTGTGTGTACATTCATTGCGAGATACTTGTACTTGTGGCAGAACAAACAATTTTCAGCTTTGATTTAAAAGCTCTGATCCCTTTCATAACTGTTTGCTTAAATCACCTTGAAATGGAAAGGAATTTGTCAAACATAAAAGATCACCATTGGAAGCAAAATTCAACACTCTGTCCAGTAACCTGCCACCAGACCTGACAACCTCATCCGTCACCTCCGTGTGGCAGGCCCAGGAGGAGCTCTGCTGTTTGGGTGATAACCTCCCATCTTTCTCATTTCTGATATCATAAAAATGATGCCTTTGGGATATGACTCTTAAAAGCCATAAATTTAGAAATAAGGCAAAAAGCTTTTAATGTAGTTAGGACAATTATTATAAACACCTCCAATGATTTTATTATTAGTTTTTTAGACAAGTAGTGGCATTCTAGGTGAATTTATTTTTGAATAATTTGTGTACATGTATACTGTATATTTATTGTGCAAGAATCTTCACCCTTTTGGATGAATCCATTGCTGCACCCTTTCCCTAAAAGCTAAATTACCTCTTCCAAAGCTAAGATGTAGTGATAATCTTGTAAGCTTTGGAGGATGGTGACAGTGGCAGAGCGCAGGAGCACCTTCATCTGCATCCTTAGCAGGACGTACATTGTCAAGGTGTGCTAGGAACAGTGCACGTCCTCCCTTGTACCAGGGCTTATAATTCAAACTGGTGCTTGTGCTTCTTTTAACATTTGCATATTATAAATAGCACTGTAAAGACAATGATCCAAAAGAATATATTTAAAACTCAGGCTTTGAAACATTCTTAAGATTAGCCTGGTGGAGGATGTTTTAAATGTGACCTTCAGGAGTTAGGAGCCACACAGAGCTGTTCAGATGGCTAACTCTGAGCTCTACCATGGACCACGAGGAGCTAGCTCCCGCCTCCAGGCCTGCTTTGACTAATATCACAAAATCAAGTTGTAAAAAAATGTCTATGTTCTTCAAGTCAAGGAAAGCTGAGGAGAAGGGGGAGGCTACCCTTAGCTCAGTTGTTTAAGCGTCTGCTCATGCAAAGGCAGTCAGGAGCTGCGGTTCAATCCCCAGCTCCACTTGCCTTATGAGACCCACCCTTCCGGCAGCCTGAGCCACAGAAAAAAGAAAAAAAAAAAGGAAAACCAGACTAAATTCACTCAGCACTCCTGCCTGCCTACCTAGTACTTTACGCCCTTCCCAGGATGAATGAACTCTGCTTGTGCATCAGCTGAGCTCAGGATCAGCTTTAGCACCATGAGGTCAAGAGCAAGGAAAAGAGGGAAGAGAAAGGGCTTTTATTGCTGCTTTGAAACTAGTTGGTCTGCTCTCATATTCCATGCCTTTTTTCTTGCTTGCCTTCAGTTCCTTTTCCTTGAGCCTAATCAGAGTTACCACCACACTGCAAAATGTCTAGTGCAACAGTGCTGAATGTCACATCCAACCCCAGACACAGCCCTTGATGACACTGATGCTGGGGCTGGACACAGAGAGCTCAGCGGACTAAAGCACCTGCTTAGGCAGGCTCAGTGACGGGGATTTGATCCTCGATGTGCTGTGCCAGCCCCGCCCCCGGGGTGTGCTGAGATGGAGACCAAGACTGGGTGTGGGGGTGCGCGCCTGCAATCCCTGTGCATGGGAGGCTGAAAACAGGAGGATCACTATGAGTCCAATCTGTGTAGTGAGACCCTGTAGAC